GCAGGCCGGGTTCCAACCCAGGCAGCAGCCCCTTGGGGAATGCAGTCCACAGGGCTGGGACAGGGGAATGAGGTGTTTCACTGCCAGGAACACTGTGGGGTCGAGGTTTCCTCCTCTGTGGTCACTGAGATGTCCTGGCTTATCCCAGGGGAAGGGCTGATCCTGTGCTGGTCCCCAGTGCCCCCAAGCCCATGCAGCCCCATGGCACCAGGCACAGTACTTTTCCCCACACTGTGCTGGGTGCTCGGGGCTTTCTGTCACTCACCAGCCAGACACACATGCACTACAGCACTGGACAGTAAATCGGGAACTGCCACAATTCCTGCCTCAGTGTCCCATGGTTGAGGAGAGGACAACGGGACTATGTGGAGGGGGCTGCATGACCCCCCAAGCACCCCTTGGGCCAGGAGCACAGTGCCAGGGCACCAGCAGTCCAGGGGTGGAGCCAGCATGGCCTTGCTGGGGCAGATCGAGGAGTGACATGGCTGGACATAGACCCTTCTCCGAGGCATTTATTGGGGTGTCACTGGCTGCTGCAGGGCACTGGGGAGCAGAGCAGAGGGGTGACACACAGCTGCAGGAGGGGTGACACACAGCTGCAGGGGGACAGGACAAGGACAGGCACAGCTGCCAGTACAGCTGGAGGAGCTGGGGAGAGAGCTGTGGAGCTGCAGTGGGATCTGACCAAACCCTGGCTCAGTCCTGTGTGGCCGTGGGTGGCTGGATGAGGTGAGGACTGAGCTCTGGGGACCTCCTGGCAGTGCCATCTGCACCTACAGCTTCGTTTCTGGAAAGGAAGGAGAAGTGCTGAGGGGCTGGTGAGATGTCACAGCCCAGCGCCAAAGCTGGAGACCAACCTCTGCATCCCCAAGCATCAATGACAAGTGATGGAGCTGTCCCCAGGGGCCCCAGCTCTCAGCCCAGGGTGTCCCTGTCCCAGAACACCCCATCCCAGGCCAGCCCCCACCGGAGGAAACACCAATATAGACTCCACTAAACCCAGCCTGACCCATGTAGGAGGCAAACAGGGCTTTGCTTTGCCAGGGTGCATCTGATGCCCATCCTGGGTGATGGTCTGCCACCTCCTTGCCCCACACAAGGGCACAGAGGGATCCTGCCCTGGGGGATGTGCTGGCATGAACCCCTGTGCTAGACCAGCCCCCCTGTGTTCCTGGGACAACAGCCGTTGTGCGGCGTGGGTCTGGCCTGGCGTGCCCAGCCCACAGCCAGGGCAGGAGAACCCACATGGTACCCAATGTGTGGCCAAGCCTGGCACATGAGGGGGACCTAGCACATTGCCTGAGATCTGCAACTCACCGTCGAGGATGTGAAACTCGTCTGCGGAGTCACAAAACCCTGCAAGAGAGAGAGCCTGGGCGGTCACCCTGCCTGGGCACCCGGGACCCCCCGGCCCTGCACCATGGGACACAGCCCAGTCCTTGCATCTTGCATCCTTGTCCCTGGGATGGCTGCAACATGGGGACAGACCCCACACATGGCCCTACTCTGGGTGACATGGAGCCACAAGCTGCCCAAACCCATGTGGATGTGCCTCCCCCTCCCCACGCTGGAGAGGACGGACCCCAGCCCCCACTGCCAGGACACTCCTGGGCACAGCCCTCGCTGCAGGTGCCCCCTGCTGCCAGGGGACTGTGTGCCACCCACCGTATGTGGGGAAGTAGTAGGTCACATCTTCGCTCAGGCCCACAGCCCTGACATGCCGCTCAAACTTGTCCGCGACAGCATCGCTGACCTGGCTGGTCCGTCCTGCGTCAGGAGGGAGACACTGTCAGTGGCCTCGAGCTCTGCCCCAAAGCCCCCCGTGCCCCCCGCAGCAAAGTTGCCAAGGGGTCTTTCAGCTCAGAGAAGCTGGTTACCGGCTCCCCACACCCCACAGTGTTTGGGGACAAAACTCTCCATCTGGGGACCAGGACCCTCAGGGAGACCCCATCTCTGCCTCTGGGGCGTCTGGGGCTCCAGTGGGCATCCCCTGAGCCCAGCATGGATTTCCCACCCCTCTGCTGCTGCTGTCCTTCACCCACCACAAGCCCGCGAGCACCAACCCACCATAGAGCTTGACAGAGATGCTCTGTCCCTTCTCATAATAGAGGATGGCGTAGTTGCTGTGGTCTGTCTCGCCCACTACTATGTCCACCTTGCTGGCATAGCCACGGCCTGGGAAAGACAGAAAGCAGCCCCAGTTAGTCCCGATTAAGCCTGGTTAGCCCTGGCACTGTCCAAGGGCCTTGTTTTGCCACAAGTGGGGTGTAGAAGGGGTGAAAGTAAGGACCAGAGCAGGTGCAGTCCCACAGGGTGCCACTCCCCATCAGCAGGCACCAGTCTGCAGCACTGCTTGTGATGGCATCTGGCATTGGGACATTTTGAGACCCCAGAGGTGGAATACTGGGCGGGCAGTGGGAGGGAGGACACTGGTACCAAAGCCCTTCTGAGAGCAGGAGTGGGGGGTTCCAGCTCTGCGGTCCCTGCAGCCCCCCTGTCACTGCAGCCTGGCCTCCCTCACCCTTCAGGAGGAAGCGTCCGTGGGCCTGCACAGGGAGGTAGCGCTGCTTGATTTCCCAGCACATCCCGTCCCTGTATGGGGAGAGTAGCAGGTTGTCAGCTCAGGCTGGGGAGGATCCAGCCCAGGGATTGCTTGCCAGGGCACACACAGGACCTGTTTTCTTGGGACTTTGGTTTCCCCCCAGGGAGATGCTGCAAAGGGATGTCCCAAGAGCCCCGTGGAGACATAGGGAGAAACATAGAGCCTGAAAACCTGCTGAGGCTGTCTGTACCCCCTCCCTGCAGCTCTGAGCTTGGCTCAGCCGCTCAGACCCCTGGGGGCTGGGGGGAGGCACCCACGGATGTACTGAAGACCCCCCTCCTCAGCCATGCTGCTCCTGGGGTGGCCCTGAGAGACAGGTCCCTGGCTGGGCGGCTGTGGAGCAAGCATGTGCCTGATTGGTGCCTCGGTTTCCCCAGCCTGGCTGCCCCCCACCCTGCCCAGCCTCCGCAGCCCAAGCCCACCCCGGGCTGGTGACCATGCAGGTGGTAGGGTACCAGCCCTGCTGTGGCCAGGGCTTCTACCACAAAACATCCCAGAGGACATCCCACCCACACGTTGCTCCCTGGAGCCTGTGGCCAGGGCACTGGTCCTGCTCTGACCTGCCTGCAGCGTCCCTGTCTCACCCAGCGTCCCCCGTCCTCATCCCAGACCACTGGTTCTGTTCTGACCTGACTGCAGAGTCCCTGTCTCACCCAGCGTCCCCCGTCCTCATCCCAGACCACTGGTTCTGTTCTGACCTGACTGCAGAGTCCCTGTCTCACCCAGCGTCCCCCGTCCTCATCCCAGACCACTGGCTCTGTTCTGACCTGCCTGCAGTGTCCCTGTCTCACCCAGCGTCCCCCGTCCTCATCCCAGACCACTGGTTCTGCTCTGACCTGTCTGCAGCGTCCCTGTCCCTGCCTGCGGCTTCAGCTGCCAGCATCACTCACAGCTTCCTGAAGGTGCTGATGGCCAGGCTCTGCCCATCCAGGATGGTCACCGTCACCGCTGTGGCCTCCAGCTGGTGGCTGTGCTCCGCCAGGTAGCTGCAGCGGGAGGCCACGCCGACCAGGAACCACCTCCCTGTGAGCTGCATGGCATGGGGGTGGCACCATCTGCCAGGTCAGTACCCCAGGGTGCCACCACCCCACTGCCCCGAGCACCCACAACCCCGAGCACCCTTCTTCTGTACTGTCTCCGCTTGCTTGGCACCTCTACCCGCAGCCTGGCCCCTTGGCGTGCCCACGGGGCATGACTGCCCTTGTTTGGAGCCAGGGGGTGGGACAGCGCAGGACAGATAGGAACCTGGCATAGGGACAGGCTGAAGCAGTGGGGCTGTGGGGAGGGGGTAGTATCTGAAGCATCCCCTGAATGCCGCATGCTGCCAGGGAGGCTGTGAGCACCCCAGGTATGTGGTGGGCAAGCACTCAGCTCCCACGCCCAGACCCTGCGGCCCCAGTCTGGACCCCCCAGCAGAGCCCTGAGCTCAACCCAAGCCCTGGCTGGAGGCCACATCTAGCGCCACGAGGGGAAGGGAGTCCCAAACCCAAACCTGAGAATGGCTGCACTGGCCCCGGGGCTGAGGATGGAGGTGGCTGCAGGAGCCAGGGGTCTGGCTGGACAGTAGCCAGCCAGGGCGGGGTTC